TACGGAATGTTCTACGTATTCATATATTATTATGAAACAGGGAGTAGATCCAGATGGTTTTTTTTACAGAATCGGTTGTCGCAGATTAAATCACTTAGTGATTTAATCAGTGTCTCACTGATTGTGTAAATAAATCTCTGTCCTACTCCACGTCTTTTGTCGTGCAACTCGAAAGCTGTACTATAAAAGGAAGAAAGGCAGAACACTGTGTCTCATCCTTTTATCCTTCTACTTCTTGTAGAAGTGTTGACTCTCTAATAATCTACCTATCCACAACCATCGTCATGGACCAAGGAGGCGACCATCAACAGGCACCAAACGCGGATGCCCTTCGCCCACGTCTCGATCTCAGAGAAGAAGCCGAGATAATTTGGTTGGAGATTGAACAGCGTGGTTACGCAGTGCCTGGGATAAGCCGTAACTTTCTTTTTGGACTTCGGCTCGAGATAACCGGAGTCTCCACATCTGAACATATCAATAATCTATACCAGTGTCCCACCGTAGCGAACGGAGAGTGGAGCACAGGAGTACCCTTGGATATATGCACAGCAGTGTGGTGTCAACATAACGTGTCGTACCAAAGAGGACTATCGGAATCACCAGTTGCTACTTCCATTTGGTATAGGGGCCAGAAAGCCGAGGTGCGGGAAGAAGTTGACAATATCTTAAATTGGTAAATCAGCAGGCGAAACCAACTCATCACAACTCGCCAGTAATTCAGAAATTCGTGCGGCAGAACAAAAAGAAGCAGTTCGAGATCAACCTCCATAAATTCAAATACAACAAGAAGGAGGAGGACGAAGCTGACAAGTAAGAAGGCCGCGCCAGCTCCGCTTTATCAACGTGTTCGAAGTAACATAGCAAAATGGATGGAGCACAGCGCAACCAAGGAGGTACTCCAGGCGATCTAATACGGCGTTCGGCCAGCATGGGGTCCGAAGGGGCCTCAACAAGCATCACAGAAGGGCAGGTGGATAACTATTCCAAAATGATCATCACGGAGCTATCGCAACTGGAGGGAGAAGGGGTTATCCGACGCTGCCAGAAACCGGAAACATACCTAATACACTCCGCATTCATGATTCTGCAGAGATCAACGACCGTGCCGAGAAGAAAGCGTTCCGGGCGGAAGGTCTAGAGAGACTGGCTCAGGTTGCTCGCCTGGGGGATGTAGCTATGTCCGCGGACATTCGAGATGGATTCTATGCATTGACTGTTGCAGACCCCCACCTATGGCAGTTTCGAGACCACACGGGCCAACTATGGTGCTTTCTCGCCCTTCCGATGGGCCCCACGTTCTCCCCAGAATACTTCAATCAACTGATGGATGTTGTTCGCGAAGTTCTCCGCAACCAGGGGATCCGAACAATACTATACGTATACGATCTACTTCTCCTGGGCCGATCCAGGGAACAAATCATGCAACACCGTCAACAAATAATCGATCTCTTCAAATCGTTAGGGCTGGAGTTCGCAAAAGAAAAGGGATATTGGACACATCCCGTGACGAATTTTCAGCACCTCGGCGTAGTCATAGACTTTATACAAAACACAATCACGATAACTCAGGACTTCATCGAGAAACTACTGCGCCTGGCAGCAACCATCCGGACAATGGGCCTGAAACATCAGAGAAAAATCAAGACAAAACTTTGGCAATCGTTCTTAGGGTCCCTCCAATGGGTGGGTTACTCCATTCTCGGCATACGTCCCTTTACTGCGGATTTACAGCAGACAACTCTGTGGAGCCGCTCTGCTCAAATCAGATTATCAGGAGCAGCAGCATCCAATTGCTCATCGAGGGTTTTAGGGTTTAGGGTTTTTTAGTAACCTTATCCTTCAATCAGAAGACATGTACATTTGCAGGAACATGGATACCGACAGAGAAACGCTGGCCAATAGCAGTATTCGAACCAAAAGCACTAGTGCTGGCGTTTGAGTACTTCGACAAGCACAACTCCATTGGCAAGACTCCACTCCTCTGGCTGACAGACTCCACGACTGCTCTTCACGCTCTTCAAAAACGCAGGAGCCAATCACGATTGATGAACACACAACTCCGGCGACTGGTCCTGTATTGTCACCAGAACCTGAACCCAGCCGACCGAACATATTCGGATAGCTACTACTTGGGGAATGCACATCAAGCACACGTCAGCTTTGCCAACCCCTATCACTCCAAATGGGACCAAACCCTCGAACTGCTAGCACCTCCGGAAACCATGCTCGGGCAGATACTACGAGAGATTTGGCTGAAAGCCATATGGTGGTCGCACATCAGACACGGCCTCGACCTTACAACCCTCGACGACGGGGTAGTACATTACCCAGACAGCATTGCTCAAGTACTAGGGATCTCCGTTCCACCGACACGTCTGTATGTCGCAGTGCTATACCAATCGCCCGGCAGCAATCCGAAGAGGAAATGAGAGCAGAGCCAGACTACAATACCGTGATTCAGCAACTAAACAACGGAGGCCTAGCCGAAGGTACCCAGCGCGATTATCAAGTGGCCATGAATTATTGGAACAAGTACGCATACGAGAACAGCATTGATTCTGCAGTTCCCCATCGAGAACAGATGATCGCGTTTTTGGCTCATTGCTTCTTCGATAACGCACATCCCAACAAAGTTCGATCAATCCGCGCAGCAATCATCAGCTACGCACGACATCACTCTATGCTGTTGATATTCGAGGACGACTGTCAACGATCAATTCAAGGATATGTCAATCTATGCAATCGCATCGGCCGGTATAATACTAGTACAACGAGACCCAAGATTGATGCATCATGGATAGTTCATATATTAGACGCTCCAGGTATTGCTAACGCATGGAAAGCTTTACTGACCATCTTCTGTTTAACCGGCGCCAGGAGACATACAACCCAAGCATTTGCCGCCGACTCATTCACATTCATGCCGGAAACGCACCGACTGCTAATTGATCTTAAGAAAAAGAAGTGACAGGAACGATCTTCCCAGGCCATAACAATTTTCCGACCAGTGGATGTGATCACATATGAGTTCCTCGATAAATATTTGCCCGACACATTCGATGATCGAGGAGATATTGGGGCTCCGCCCGTCGTACTTCTGAACAGCATGACTCGCGGAGCAGGCATCGAACTCGTCCGCTCGATTTTTGAGAGGGTAAGAATTTCAAGCGCAGATATCACTAAATATATACACTGGCACAGATTTCGAAGAGGCTTTGCACAGAGTGCGTTCAGCCTTCGTGTTCCGGACGATATAATCGCCGGTATTATGAGTGTGGAACGTTCGACGCTCGAGGCATATCGCTCCATCGTTGTGATTAGCGCAGCGGACCGCCGCTTAAATGGGTGTTTATTAGATGAAGCCTAACTTCCAAACGGTGAAGGGACTGCGAGCAGAGGTTATGGCAACAAATAATATTACATAATGTTTTAGACATTCACATATTATTATGGAACAGGGAGTAGATCCAGATGATTTTTTTTTACAGAATCGTGTGTCACAGATTAAATACCCTAGCGATTTAATCAGTAACTCAATGATTGTGTAAATAAATCTCTGTCATACTCCACGTTCTTTTGTTGTACAACTCGAAAGTTGTACTATAAAAGGACGAAAGACAGAACACTGTCACTCATCCTTTTTTCCTTCTACTTCCCTCCCTCCACCCCTCTCTCTCTCACTCACTCTCACTCACTCACTCACTCACTCACTCACTCTCTCACTCACTCTCACTCACTCACTCACTCACTCACTCACTCACTCATTCACTCT